TTTTTTTTATGGCCACCTGTTGCTACTGTAAAGCATAAGGGACTCTGCATTTTGAAAAATTCATGGCTTATACTAATCAAGAGAAATGTTTGCCGAAACAAGATGTCTGCCGAGAACACACAAAAAAAAACGAAAAAAACAAAACAAAAAAAAAACACTTATTTATAACCAGAACCAAATTTACTGGAATGGGCTACCATTATCACTAAAAACTTTTACAAACTTCAATTTAGCAATACAATACAATACAATACAATAAACTTTATTTAAGGAGGGTGACACGGTTAACCCAAAGAGTTATCTAACACGTGGCCCTCAATACTCACTGTATTTATGTAATCAAATGTAAATAAAGTATTGTTGTTGTTGTTGTCATGGCCAGACTGAAAATATTTTTAGTTTCTTCATTTCAAAACAGGTTATTACGACAATGCAAGTCTCAAAGTATAATATGTCTGCTGAAGTCACTGTTACATGCTGTTATGCGATGTTAGTACCAGCCCTTGTGTCACCATTTGTGTTTTACACGCTTCATGTTGATTTGCGTGAAGTCGTCAACAAATCATTCAAAGCATTGTTTATCAAGGTCAAACAGAATCGTCACAATACACCAAGAGGTACAAGCAACTGCAAGTTTAAAGCTATAGAAAACCAAGCTTATTGTGCAATTTCTTTCTTTTCTGTTTTTCAGTTGTTCAATCGAGTGTTAATCAAGTCATGGAACTAGAGGCAAAACTATAGAATCATTCACAGGTTTACAATGAAGGTCAAAAACCCATGAACCATATATATTGCATCTCTGCTGTATTTACTGCATTTTGCATCATGCTCAGACAAGATACTAGAGTCGAGGAAAGAGATAAAAAAATGTTTATTTTGTTAATTTGGAATTTTGTCTCTACAAAACAACATCCTTGTACCAACCAGTTTATCCAACTGATACTTCTGTACAACTAAAATACATGTACTACTTTACAACTTACTAATGATATATTTTACAACTTGTGGGTAGATTGATTACAACAAATTACATTATTATACATTCAGTATGAATGGAAGCAAAGCAAAATGTAGTTACTTGATAAATATGACGTTTGATCTATTAAACTAAAAGAAATCAAGACAAAAAACTTGTTTAATACCTCTTGCCAAGGATAACCCAATTAAACATTATTATTTTATGAACTATTTTCTTTTGAATTGAAACTGACAAGTCTTCCTGTTATCACAAACATTGACAATGTGTTTCATCTGCCATTTATTATACAATATATAATACAAAATACGCATGAAAGCCTAACTCTACCTAATATATAGTTTTTAAAGCAATTAACTGCACTACACATCAAAGCCATGGCAGTGATATTTAAATGTCATGCTGTTGACTCTTCCTCTTCCTCCTCTTTGATGCTGTCTTCAGGCTGAGGTGGTAAACAGTTATTTTCTTCAAGAATTGACCGAATGTCTGAATCTAGAGCAATAAAATGTACAGTTATTATTTTAAATCACATGAATACAACCATTCTTCATTTCCCTATCCTTTAYTTTTCTTGTATTCATTCATATTCCCAGCTATCCTTACATTTATTTATTTAATTTATTCATCTAAATATCTTTGCATTATCCATTCATCTCTTTTTGGTCATTTATTTTTTTCATCCTTTCTTATTTGTTTGTTTATTAATGAATAATAATAAATAAATTATGATAATGTTATTCACATACTTCTAAAGTGCTTTCCCAGCATCTCTATAATATCATGTCTCTTCATGGCGACCAATGCCAGAATGAGTTCATCTACAGTGATATCAGGTTCACACTTTGCTATACTTTGTAATAGCATTTTAGTAGGACTATTCATGGAGGATGGTTCAAAGATTGAGAACTTTTCTTCAGGAATTTTCAACTCTCTTCCAAGTCGTTTCCAGTTTGGTCCATTTTCATCCTCTTCATTTAAAATGTCTGTTATTTCACCGATAAAGTCAGTGTCTTCTAATATGTCCATAATGGCATCATCTCCTATACATTTGAATGAAATAAATATATCAAGAGATGCAAGAGAAAACAAATACACCTATGGAAGCCCTCYTGTTGCCAAGTAGATGAATTACAACTAAGTCAGCTATCACTTTCATATAATGAATAGCAAGTGAGTGACCAAAACAATTMAACTATGAAACATACCAGGAACACCTGATGCGTCCAGGAATTTGACCAAGTCATCCAATCCAACAGTTCTACAGGAATCTTTCAACGAATCAACAGTYAAGTCAGGATCAAAGATTGGTAGATATTTAAGCATTAAAAGTGCAGAGTTCTGTCGCTGGTGGGAGCCAAAGTTCCTGAATATTCGACTTGGAACCTCAAGCTGACGAGCAAGGACTTTCCAGTTAGAGTGATGTCCACGGTCRAGTTTGAGAGCAAGTTCACCAAGAAGATCAATGTCTTCACGTTCAATGACACCTTGGATAACAGTACCATCACTAATGACAGCTCCTAAAATATCATATAAAAACAGAAATGTTGCTTAACAATGAAACTACTGGTTATAAACGTATTTACACAATTCCATCCTTGCTATTTTTTTATTTCAAAGAAACAAAAATCAAATAGCAATTTAAAATTGATTCAAAAAGAATTTCCACATAGACAACTGGGCTGGGTTATTCGAAGCCTKATTAATGTCAGTTGAGAGTTAACTCCTTGGCTTTTTTAAGAGTTAACCTAGGATTACCACTTATCAATCTTATGAACAAYTCGGCCCTTGAAATCTTTGTTGTTTCAATCCCTACCACTCAACCTTACTTTACTTTGAAAAATGCAATTATTATCCAAATTAATTTAATAGAGCTTACTTGCTATATAACGGTCAACAATATGGACCACATCTGGCCTGCTGATAGACCGTAGTGAATCCTTTAAATCACTGATGGAAAACTGAGGTTTTGTGCTKGACAAGAATACCAACAAATCCTCTGTAGGACTTGGTTTGGAAAAGGAAATACAATGATTATAAGCTTCTTTTGGTATTGCTAGTAGTTCAGCCAGGTCATACCAGGAAGACACTCCTCCATGCTGGTGTTCTGTGTCCAGTAAAATGGCTAGGTCGTCAAGTGCCTTTGGATTGTTTGTGATTTTTATATTAAGAAGATCATCTAAATGAATCAAGAAAAAACTTGTTAATTATTTTTTCTACAGTGTACAGCCAGTGTTGAGCACCATCTATGCATGCGTGAGTATCTTGTATATTGTTTGAAACATTCCATGGGTTTGTTGTAAGCTGTGCTAATGATGAAGTAAATGATGAGAACTGTAATTTTATGACACATTTTGACTGAACTATTGTAGTTCTAAGCTCTTTCTCAATACATTGTTTGTTACATATGTGACGTCAGAATCAGATAATTATCACAAAGGCTTATTTCCTGTGCATGCTACTGTAATCACGTGTATTGTGGTCATATTTTTGTGCTGTAAGTTTATACATTTTTCTTATACAGTTTTGCATTTATTTCCTTTTTGATATTTTTGACAATGGTCAAACGAATTGAACTTAAGAGAAAATTGACAAAGAATTTTAACTATACCAGGTTCCAAAGGTTCTCCTGCCTCTTCTGGTTTAACAGGTTTGTCCAGCTCAATTACATCTGGTTTAACAGGTTTGTCCAGCTCAATTACATCTCTTTTCACTTCATTTTGTGTCTCAGCTTGTTTTTCACCATCAACAGACATGATTTCCTCTTGATTCACAAGAATTTCATCTTGATGACTACTTAATTCCCTGTCTTCACTTTGTTGGTGTATTTCCAGGTTAGAACTTGATAGTTCTGATATTTCTGCCAAGAATATGTTAATCCATTATTAATCACTTCATGCTGTGATATAACTATACTGCTGAACATGACATACACGTCGTAATCAATAAGCATATTTTGAGTTGTACCCTTTTAAATGTTCACCAAGATATAAGCAACTTCTTGTAATAAGTGATTCAATTAAGAAAATGAAAAAATGGGAGAAAAAATGGAAATGAATGGATGATTAGAAAATTATAAATGGAATAATAACAGTCAAAATACATATTGTTTTAGTAAACTCACATATTATACACTATTGTCAGAGTTAATAATGTCCTCTGGAAAATGTATTCTAAAAATTTTAGGGTTAATTAAAACACAAGATTGCTGTGCAATTTCTGCATTTACCGGACATTTCAATAAAGATACATATTGTATAGCTGATTTGACAGAATTTATCATATAATTATAACTCTATTGTCATTTTATTAGTTTTACTAAAATCTTTATTAGTAAAGGTTGTGATAGTTTTAAAAGAGTCTGAACACTGTTTTGGTCAACTGGATGAAATTTGCATGATCCAAGACAGAATAATTTTAGATTTTGGCATCAATATTGATGTCAGGCAGAGCACCAAATGTTTCAAAATGAGCTTACATTTAAAAATATTAGAAACTGTGACAATACTATATTGTAAAATTGAAAAAAAAAATGTCAACATTATAATGCACACATTYGTTTGGACCTAAATTAAAGTAATATTGATGTAATATATTATATTTTTTTCAGCAGATTTGCTTCCCTTGTTGGAATATGTAATATTAAACATAACCCACCTTAGTTTTTAAGAATATCAACTTCAGAATGGTGAAAAATAGTGAAGATCATTTGTGAAATACTGTTATTTACACACATGTAGTCCTTTTTAGAAATTATTCATGATATAATCCAAATATGAATATATTACKATAACAACAGACCAATACTGTTAGRATGATCAAACCACAACAATTCACTTAAATATAATCAGCTTATCAAGGGAYTGATTATTATTGGCCTCCCTGGGAYATCAATMTCTCTAAATAGCTCATCTTAAACAAGACAATTCTAATTCTAAAAATGTGATTATAAAAAGAAACTTTTTGAAAAAGTTTATGATTGCTGCCTAATTTACAGCATATTTTTTTCCTCTTTGTGGTTATAATATCTCACTGTAATYACTCAAACCACAAATTACTGACATTGCTTTCTCTATTGTTTTGGATTAAAAAGTGAATATCAAGTTATTTTTTCTTGAATGAAAAGGATTCATTTTCAAGTTAGCTATCAAGTGAATATATTATCAGCAAGAGGTTGTGTATATGTACATGTAGACTACATATCCAATTACAGAAATAATTTAAATTATCTTAATCTGTGATATGTTAACAATACTGTCTTAGAATATGTGCACAATGTTAATTCATCTATACAATTAAAAAGACAAAATCAAAAAAAAAAAATAGAAAAACAAATATTAGAAGAGTATAATATGAAATACATGTAATAATCTTATTGTTAGTAATAATACTGTAGATTCACAGGCAGTCTCACCTATAACTGCATAACATCATTATATTTTGCCTTATGGTAAACCTCAACTGCCCTCATTCACAAACAAAACCACATGTTTTTAAAATAAACTAATTTAAGGTTATAACACAAGGGGGAAAATTAGTTTAAACACAATTAAACTAAATTGCTAAAACCGTGATTGTACAAAATACAATATGATGATTTAGAAATCATTTCATATTTATTTGAATTTTGTATTCTGTGAAAAAACTACATTCTTACCATCTGTATGGCTGTCTTCAGAGCTGACTTGGTTTTTATCCAAAGTATTTTCATCTTTGAGATTAGGTCTCTGAGTTTCATCTGTATTAGTAGTTTGAGGAGAAAGAATTTCAACTTCAACTTCAACCTCTTTGTTTTCACTTGTTTCATCATCTTCAGGAGATATTTCCTCAGTTAGTTTATTATCCACAGGAATGTCTTCTTGCATTGAGGTAGGAATGTCACTAGTTGTTCTCTGATCTTCACTTTCCACCTCAGTTTGTTGATTAAGTTCACTTCTTTCCATATCAGTWTTTACGTCAGTACCTGCAATGTCAATGCCTGGACAGTCATTACTTACTGGATTTTTTTCTGTCTCTTCAACTTCAACACTTTTCTCAGTAGTATTATCCAATACACTWTCCTCTTCATTTTTAATTTCTGTATCAGTTTCCCTAGTAACATCATTGCGCTCATTGACCACATTGTCTTCAACGTGATCAGTCTGTAAGATAGAAATGTCATTTTCTTTGTGAAGCATGTTATCCATTAAAGTATCTTGACCAACATTAGTTTGTTCTTGTTCATTTGTATCTTCTGAATCTGGTTTAGTTTCATTTTGAGTAATTTCCTCATCAGCTTCTTTATCTTCCATTTCTGATGATATTTTTTCTTGGTTKTCATTTTGTTCTGAAGTGTCATCAACTTTTGTTTCATTTTTTACACTATTGTCCTCCATTTCAGAAATACTASYTGGTGYCTTTTCATTGACATTTTCACTCTCTTCATTTTCTGCATTTTCGACTGATACAACAAACTCCAGTTCTGTACTGTCCCTCCTAGACTTAAAATATCCAAGTTCAGTWGCTTCAGAGTTTTTKTCAGGTTCTTGAATTTCCTCCTGTGATGTGTTTTCAACATTCTCATTTTCCATATTTTCAATTTCAATTACTTCTTTGTCATCTGAGCTACCAACTTCATCATTACGATGCATCTCTAGTTGATCAATCGATGGATRGACAGAAGGTGTCTCATCTTCACAAAGAGYTTCTTTGCTGTRAGCCTGTTCTTTKATATTTTCCTCCGCTAATTCTCTATTTTCATTTTCATCAATTTCATCATCTTTTCTAGAGTCGGCAKCTATGCCTTCTGCTTCATTTCCACCTTGTTGTTCCTTGGGAGCTTCCTCTTCTATAGACAAAAATAATGTTCACATTACTAAGTGATTCCAGTATTTACAGTCAAAAGACATAAAGCGCACCCCCTCAAAACACCATTGTTCAATTCATTATTCGATTCTTGGTCGTTTCAACATTACATTATTGAAATCAAATTTGAATTGAAACTTCGAAATCGGATCAAGATTTGAATTTAATTTAGTATTAATCAAATGAAGTTTGAAAACGAAAAATAAAATGAAAAATCCAATAATGCAYTGAATAACGAACTATTCAAGGGAGAGCTTCATGTCTTTTGACATTAAGAGTTGAAAAGATGGTTAGTGACTTATGATTCCTAAAGACAAATCCGATGGTTTTGAAGTTATCTCTACAATAACATGCCATTTTCTACTTCAAATAGGTAGATAGTAAAAGTAATTATAAAGTAATTCCAAACTTTTTCTTAAGGTTATTAATTTTCAAGATCAACTGAAGATGTGGTTCCACTTCAAGGACTGAGACTAGTTGCTTCTAGGATCTTCCATATATTATAATCATGATGAAAAATTATATTAAGGTTAACAATAACATGACCTTAACATAATTATGATTCTCAAACAAAAAATAATAAAAATGTGTAATAAATGTCAATGCATTTTTTCAATAACAAAGAATAAAATTCAAGTTAAAATCACTTTACAAAAAAGGAATTCACTTAGCATGAAATGTGCTATGATAACAACGCATGCTACGCTTTTTTGCCTTAATTGGTTCTGCAATGAATGACGTGCGAATAAGAATTGTTTACAATATAAAAAGTAAAATTTACACGAAAAACAATCGCCACGGGACCCTTGAGTAAATCAAAATCTAGTTACAACAAAACAGCTGGAAATCGTCTGCTAATAAATACAAATTCAAAAATTGGAAGGAATTGTACATTAAATCGATCAAGTTATCAAATGAACTCTGTCTTGCGCAGGATTCAATATCGCATTAATTCAGCCAAAAAAACTTGAATTTGAAAAGTTTTTTTGTGTGAAAAGAATTCGTCGAAAATGTAGTCTATATTTAACTTATTACTTGTAAGTTTTTCAATAAAATCGATGTGACGCCAATTGTAATAACACTGCACAGTACATCGCAAATGACATGTTGGATTATTATTCCGTTCCCAAAGGCTTTCACCGGACAATTAAAATCATTTAGGAATATAGCTAATCTTTATAGWGACAAACAAAAACAGATAATAGCCGCTGAATGTGTTCAATTAGCGAAAAAGTCAATGAATCACAAGAACATGGGAAGTTTTGAGTGTACGGTATCTCTAAAAACATCAGCGATAAGAGTCTAACACAATCTTTGTGACTAAAATAGACAAGCTCAAAAGACGAGCGATTGTCATCATAGTTAAATCGCTTTAGCTTGTTTAAGTCTAGTGTAAACTCATGGAAGTAGTTGTAATTTGCGGTGTTACCTTGAAGTTGGAAGTACGTGTCGGGTATGAACGAAGGCACGATTTGGCCTGCATAAAACGCAAGGCAACCCAGGTATAACCCTTGTTTAGAAAACACCACACCACCAGCTAGAATCTGGTCACTGGGGAACGATTGCTCTTCTAGCTCAATGTCACGATGTAAGAAATCCTCCAGCAAATATACGTTTCTGCTTTTACTGAACTTAAACTTGTACGTTCGTGATTCGAATTCTTGGCCAATTGACCCAAACTCACGGATTACATTGCAGAATAACCCATCGTCAATTTCATTGTCATAGTTATGGAAATCAAAGCAATCAATCGGTCTAGTCGTTTGCAGACTACTCTTTTTAACCATTCTCTTAAGAAAACCCCGTTTATCCAAAGGCTCAACTGATAGCACAGTAAGCTGTTCATTTGGATGGCTTCCATCTTGCTCGTTTAAATTTCGTCCACTAATAGTTATGCAAAATTCTGCAGCAGGTTTCAGCTCAAACACTTCCAACCCTTTCTTCTCAAAAACAAGGAATTCTGCAGTGAAAGTCCTGTCTGAAGACAGTTGTTGTGGCGATAGCACATCTACGGAAGTTACTAAAAGATTAGGACACTTCCAGCCTAGACTCGCTGCAAGGGCCTCATGCTTTACAACACAACCAACTCCCAAAGTCACGAAATTATCTTGCTGTGGTAGTCTTTCACGAATTCTACAAATTGCGTGCTCAACCTTGTTCATTGTAGTGTATTAATAACATAAATTTACAGTTGCTAGTTGGAAGTAATTAAACATTAAAGAGTAGCGATCTAAACCACTCCACGTTCTCTTACCCTACTACTTCCATGTTATACAGCTGCACCGCGCCTTGCTTGACCCAGGGTCACGCGGAAAATCATTTAACTATGGGGGGTAGGGGACGGGAAGGAATTCTTCTAATAATGTTGATCACGAAAATCGACGTTTATTTTGTAATTTGTAATCAGAAAATCAAATTTGTAATGTAAAATGTCCCAATGAAATTGCATAAAATGATTTCGTTACATTGCTATTACAAATATCCCAAAGAAGGAAATGTTGTTGTCCTTGTCACACTTAGCGTGTCTTATCGGCTCCCGCTCAAAGTCTTCAATGGACTAAAATGAGCGGTAATTTTTTGTACAGAAAAAAACAAAATAAAACAGATTCGAAGTAAAGAAAGACTATTATAACTTCATTAACAATCTATAAAAGCTTTCGATTTTTGTGAGTAATTRTTATTATTATTATTATTAATTTGTAAGTTGAATATATGAATGAAGGAGGGAATGAAGAAAGGAAGGGAATTTTTAATACAAAAGCAAACACACATTAGTAAGTTTCTCATGGTCTTCCTGTGCTTTCTGGAAAGACCTGGTTACCAATTGTTGCGCAAGTCAATGAAAGAAATACCGGGAAAGAAACGTGTTTTATGACACAAATTGAACTCGAAATATTATCAAATCTACGTAAAATCAAAGTTTACTAAAGTCAGAATGGTGAAAAAGAAAGACAAGAAAGGGGGTGCGAGCAAGATGGCGGCTCTCGCTGCCGCAGTAGAAGCAGCGGAGAGTGAAAATCGAGAGAATATGGAAAACAAAATGGCGGATTTAGAATTAGAAGAAGGCCAACAAAATGGCAAGGGGAAATCRAAGAAAGTAAAGGGAGAGAAAAAAAGTAAAGTAAACGACAGAGAAGAAGAACAAGAAGAATTAGAAAATGCCGACGCGTTTTATGATCACGAAGCAGAAATCAATCAAAAGAAAGAAGTAGAAGAGGAGCCACGTAAGATTTTAAGTTCTGTCAAACTGTCTTTTCTTTGATGAGCATTAAATGAGCTCTCTATCAAATCTTTGGATCTATAAACTTAACTATTCTGACTGTTAAAAAATATTACCTAAAAACAGCTGTGGCAAAGGATGGTCTGTGTCTTGTGATTCTTGGTTTTATGAGAGGGAAATATTTTCCTTCGCTATTTTGAATAATTTCACTRTCTTTGAATCTGCAGTCGAAGACACGAAAAAGCTGAGTAGAAAAGAACTAAAGAAACTTAAAAAGCAGGTATATCACTCTTTTGATTGTATTTCCATTCAGTTTTCTGTACATCATTTCATTCATTTATTTTTCCATCCATCCATTTATTTTTCATTTATTAATTTTTTCTAATGAATCTTGAAGGAAAAATTCAAATCAGAGATGGAGGAATTGGAAACATCACAGTTTTCTGTCTCACAACAAGAGTCATCAGCTAAAACTGCAATCTTAGAAAATGCACTGGATATMAAGGTATTTAATAAATAGTAGAGGTTTACATCAGGTGTATTTTACAAGCAGGTCTGGATTTTCAAAAAGCAAAATATTCTGAACTTTTTAGTTCAAAAAGAAGGGTGGTCTCCACWAGTAGCATCTATCTGATTCATTCAATAATCAGACTCAATGGTTGACATGGGCATTTTATAATAGGTTGAGAAGTTTGGTATTTCTGCCAGAGGCAAAGAGTTATTTGTCAATGCAAGTTTGAATATCACAAAYGGACGGCGGTATGGTTTGGTTGGACCTAATGGGTGAGTTTRACAATAAATGAATGCACTKACAAYCCCAACWATTTCYATACTTGTGCTTGAAYAGTGTGAGTCCATTGTKACTATGAAGGTGTACTATTTTTATCGTTTTTGTTTAATATAGAATGGGAAAGACAACTCTACTGACTCACATAGCTGAAAGAAWACTTGCAATCCCACCAAACATTGATGTGCTTTTGTGTGAACAAGGTATATTTGATAGTATTTGCTTTTCTCGTAGTCACAACTATCTGAACCAACTTTGTTTGAAACAGTGTCTTGTTTTTGTTTTGTTGTGCTTTTTGTTGTTGTTGTTGTTTCTTGCATGTTACTGATTAAACCATGTCTTTTTACTTTGGTATCATATTTTATGATCAGAATCTCTTGTGTTTTAGATGTAAAGGCTGATGATACACCTGCGTTTGATGTTGTGCTTAAAGCAGACAAAAAAAGACTTCACCTAATGGAAGAAGTAAGTCTATAGCGAATGATATCTTACTTACTGATGGCTTTTGCAAGTATTCATTCTTTTACTGTTATTAATTCAGTTTTATTTTGTGTAGGAAAAACATCTTGTGAAGTTATCAGAAACAGGAGATGAAGGAGCCATTGAAAAACTAAAAGAGGTAAAGTGTATTATGAGTTATAGTAGGTAGTTCTTATTAACATGCATGATGTGTGTCTGTTGTAAACCTTGTTTAATATGCCATTTATATTGCTAGGTTTATGCTGAACTAGAGGCAATCGGAGCCTCATCTGCTGAGTCAAGAGCAAGGAGAATCTTAGCTGTATGTGATAAAAGTTTTATGAATTCATTCAGTGTTTCATTGATTTTTATCTTTAATATCACTTACAATGAACTTTGTCCCATGCAGTGAGCACAAGAAATGTTTGTATTTGCTAGAGAAACTTTACACAAATGTATTTCTAATTTGTTTGTAGGGTCTAGGGTTTACTACTGAGATGCAATCAAGGCCTGTCAATCATTTCTCCGGAGGATGGAGAATGCGTGTATCTCTAGCAAGGTACAATCCGAGAGTAYTATTTGAAATAATGGTACTTTCGATATCTTAACACTGGCCTAGCTTTTTGTACAAGAAATGGTTTTTGATAGGTAAAATTAATGTATTGAAAAATTAGAGTTGTATTTTATTTTTGTTTTAATCTACAGAGCTCTTTTTCTTGAGCCTACTCTWCTGATGCTTGATGAACCTACAAATCATTTAGATCTCAATGCCGTCATCTGGCTAGACAAGTATGTATGACTATGATTAAACARCATTATCAATGTGTGAATATAATGCTGTACATCTTTGTTTTCATTCAGTATTTTCATATAAAATTGGGATTTTCTTGTCATGTTTATCGATTTTGTATCATGTGGGTATCAACAAGAAAATGTGTAATATTGTAATAATTGTTTTTTTCTTTAGTTATCTTCAAAACTGGAAGAAAACCTTACTTGTGGTATCCCATGACCAATACTTCCTGGACAGTGTCTGTACTGATATTATCCACCTTGGTAGGTTATCACATTGCATTTACAAGTCTTAACAACCTTGTACTTAATRGTATATCTTTTATTTATTCCAGATCAACAGAAATTACATTACTACAGAGGAAATTATGGTAAATTATGATTTTCCATTTGCTTTCATGAACTCCACAATACATTGTATTAAATCCCAATCCTCTATTCCTAGTTATTGAAATCCATTTTGCTTCTTTTAAAAGGACAATTCAAGAAAATGTACAAGCAGAAAGTAAAAGAACAAGAAAAGGCCTACCATAAGCAGGTGGGAGTTTWCATAAATATTGAAGAATAAAATGTATGTAAATAAAATATTGAATAAATCATCATCATAATAATGATAATAATATATAATTATATTTTACGTCATTAAATGTTATAATTTATGGACCTTTCACCACATGACAATCCAAGTTTAAAATTTATCTGRAGATTTATTCATCTTCTTTCAGGAAAAACAATTGAAAGAGTTGAAGGCATCAGGACAGTCCAAGAAACAAGCCGTGAGTACAAACCATAGCAATAATGTTAGGAAGTATTAATGAAACTAYTTATCTTACCAAGAACTTATTGAATTCTTAGGAGGAGAAGACAAAGGCTGCTCAAGGAAGAAAAACCAAAAAATCTGGGAAGAAAGGAGATTTTGAGGAGGTACACAGGAAACTAACAAGCTTTAGTAATAACTTATAATATCATATTAATTGCCATATATATAAATCATTTTTATAAGTAGAAATGTTATGCTAATAAGGTTGATTATAGTTATTTTTTTCTTTCAGGATGATGTCCAAACTGTTGAATTAATCAAGAGACCTAAAGAATATGTTGTCAAGTTTTCTTTTCCCAACCCTCCGCCATTAAATCCTCCAATTCTTGGTCTTAAAGGTCAGTTTGACATACACTATTCTGTCTTGTTTTGTGTCTTTTTTGTCTTTAGATTTATTCATTGTCTTATTGATTCAGTAATTATATTTTAATTTAATGACTAGTTTAGTTAATTTATAGTTGACTGACTGACTAATTTTTGAGATCGATGTTTATTTCAAATTCATTGAGGTTGTGAATGGAACATTATGTCTTTGTTTTGTTTGCAGAGGTGACATTTGGATATGGTGGGCAACAAGAATTGTTTCAAAATATTGATTTTGGTGTGGATTTATCTTCTAGAAGTAAGCTCAGTGTAGCTACAAGATATCTATTATCTCCTTAATTCTAACCTTTTCATTTTATGACTATCTTTAGTTGCTATTGTTGGCAATAATGGTGTAGGAAAGACAACTTTCTTGAAGTTATTAACTGGTCATTTATCACCAGTAAGTTATGGTAACTTATAATGTATTGTGTAGCACTGATTTAAATTGCTATCTAATATTCTATCACTGGTATGCAGAACAACCCATTAAATTTATGTTAATTAATTGATAAGTATTGCATTTCAGATTACAGGTGATTGGATTAAGAACCATAGATTGGTAAGCAAGTGCTATGATAGTTTGAACAAAGAGTATTTTACACAGAATAAAGCTAGCAAATTATAACAACTGGTACATTTGTTTATTAACAGCAGTCCAATGCTAATTGCAGTTGTGAAGTTGTGTCTGGTTGTATAGTAATGCAAAACACAGTAAAAAAAAGCACTAGAAAAAACCTCAAGGAACAGACTCAAAGACAATGTATAGTGAATCTATGGCTGCAGTGTTTTTGACAAGCCATCACTTGATAACATTTTTTATGAGTCTTCTTGCAGCTTAAACAATCTAGTACATGTAACCAAATTATTCGTCTGTTGTCTATTTTCAGCGTATTGGAACATATAGCCAGCATTCAGCTGATCAAGTGAGTCTACAGTTTGTTTTAACATCTTTCTTGTATTTCTAACTGAATAATTTTTATTGTGATCAAAGAATGATTGACATGTTGCATGGTCTCAAAAGAATGTAATTTTATGTATATTGTTTTTAGTTAAATTTAGAAGAATCATCAGTCGAATATCTACAGGTAAAAATCCTTTTCCTCTGTGCTTTTCACATTCATTCATTATTATTATATTTTTGAGCTACTGGTAATTTGCACATTAGATTCTACTGATCAGTCCATTATTTTATTTAATTATCAGTCAAAATATAATCTGGATTATCAAAATGCCAGAAAACACCTCGGCAGGTTTGGTCTTGCCAGTCATGCACATACCATACGAATAAAGGATTTATCAGGTTTGTTTATGACATGATTTTGACAAGGAGAATTGAGAGAATATGTATAGTTTAATGTTTACAATTTCATTGTCTGTTAATCAGGAGGACAAAAATCTCGTGTTGCTTTTGCTGACATGGCCCTTAGCAATCCAGATGTAATTATACTGGTATGTGACTGAATATATAGATAATAACCAAAATTTATTGTAATTTGCAAGATTTTCAAGTTTGTTTGCAGACCTTGTATTGACAAAAAATAACTTTATATTTCTTGTTGTCAGGATGAACCTACTAACAACTTGGACATTGAATCTATTGATGCCCTGGCTGATGCTATCAATGAATTTACTGGCGGTAAGAGCTCATCAATGTTTTGCTTGTTTTTCATAATGCGTCTGCTTTTTATATCTTCAATATGATTGTATGAGGAAGTAGCTGATCCCATTAAAGAGTGCTCAATACACATAAAGTGTAGAGCTAGTTATTAAATACTGTCTGATGAGTGCGTAGCACGAAACTCGGAGTTACAGCAAAATCTTGCCTCTTTGATATTATATATATATCTTCAATATGATGTATTTTGTAGGTGTTATACTAGTAAGTCATGATGCAAGACTGATCCTGGAGACTGATTGTCAACTTTGGGTTGTTGAAAACAAAGATATTTCTGAAGTTGATGGGACATTTGATGATTATCGACAAGAAATCCTAGAAAAACTTGGTGAAGAAGTTGTTTCCAAGTCAGCCAACCATTAACAACACCAACAACACTCAGATTGACATGAATATGAATGAAGATGGAGTTCCCAGCACAGCAAAAAATAACTACAAGTATAAAAATCTGAACATTGTGGAAATGTTGTAGGATTACCAAAGCAGCTGCTGAAGAGGTCCATTTTTCCCACAGCAAACATTGGCAGTCTCCATTAACCTCCATTAAACCACAATACTCTTACATGAATATGGATGAATGATGCTAATGTTTCTACAAGCATAAATTACACTCAAGCCTCATTTTAAATGACAATTTAGATAGACAGAATATGTATAGCTCTTGTAAATCTCTGGAATTTAAAGGCATATTCTAAACACCTGATTCATGGGTGAACAATCTTTTGAGTGTATGGCTGGTATACAAACCTTGTTGTGCCATAGCAGTTCTAAGCTGACACACAAGACTTGATGCCAATTGGAAATACGCGCAACCTACACTTCATTTAACAGCATTAATAAATGTCAAAATTAAATTTATTAAAATTCAATAAAACTTATTTGTCTCAGAGTGATCCAACCTTCATGCAAAACTTTTTTCATAGAAATTCTAATATATCACTCTGTGATAATTCATTGATCTCATCAGACTTGCGTTTCAGCTGTGGTTTTAGAACAGATTTGCCGGAACAAGAAGTACAGTGGTTGTATCTGCTGTTTTAATTTCAAACTTAAGATTTCCAAAATGTCTCATGGTCCAGCTCTAGGCTGAAAATGAAAACATGAAAGATTAGAAATTTCATATTTTGAATTAATAAAATTATGGTGGCCTATTCATAATTTTTGTGGTTGCTATAGTAGCGTAGTCAGCCACCTTAACTTTTCCCCTGATGTTTTATTTATAGATTGCCTGGCAGCTAAGCATGAATATATTAAAAAATCGAACGACACTTGATTTGACCCTCCATCGATCACAAAAAAATTTTTTTGGAACTACAGAAAAGACGATTACATATGGGATAAATGTTTCTCAACTTGGATGTTTGTTGTTTTATGGATAAAATTTCATCAAAAAGAGTGAGATCTACAAGGCCACACTTTTCTAAAGTTTGATTTTTGCTAATTGTGTTGACGATGGCAGAGCGGGAAAGTGTGCCGCTATTATTGGGGTTTATTCTCTTTTCGATTGCAAGAGAAATTCTCGTCGAAAGTAGAGGTAATTTAAGATGTTTTCCATAATTTGTGTCTGCTAAATTCATGGCTAGCAATGTCTCAGAAACCGAAATTCATTGTTATCAGATGCACAGGCTCACAAGCTTTAGCAGCAAAAGCAAGGTCTACTTGTGGCATTGTAACTTGCCAGATAAGCAAAAGTTGTAAAATCGTGTCATTTTGCCTTTAATTGGGCTAACAAATTTATTGTCAACACTACAAACGGGTCTCTCTCGAGTGCTACATCTCCTGATATCGTTTGCTTATTATATAAACGAAAAGGCAAGCAGTCCATGTGTATAAAAATTAATTGGAGGGACAAAACAATAGCACAATAAGGCCAGCATTTGCCAATAGTATCCACTGGATCTATATGCATGGCTGCATCTAACATTTCATAGCATTTCTCATTATTATTACACATATTATCATAATTGCAGTGCCATTAGTGTATCATCATGTATTGATTGCATAAATATAAATGTTTATATAATCTGCCATGAATTGTTTGATAAAGAAAGCAAAAATCTACAATTTGCTGGAGCGAAACTTTGAAATTATACAGGAACTTTTGAATGTATTAGGTATTTTTTTGAGTAGGGATTATATCATTATATTTTCCTTTATAGAAATACAGTGTAATATTTACCCAATGCCTCCAAATTTACAAATATGATTGTTTTGTTGGTCAATGGTAACGCGTGTTAATTCAGTGTCCGTGCTTTCACTTGCTGATTGACATTTTTCAGTGTGTCCTTCGCTTTCAGTTGTTAACATTGTCACATACATGTACAGTCCTGAAGATAAAACTCATGCATACATTTATTACTAATGGACATGTCAACTAATACAATACAATAAGTTTATGAGATCTTCCAAACTGGATCTTCCAATTTGCAAACTATGTAAATTAGATACTAACTGTAAGACTAAAGCATAAAGCATTGTCATTTTGATATCATATTTGTTTGATTTGCTTGTGTTTATAGGCTGTAACAACACTACTCAAGGTCCATATAACTGCAAGTGTGCGAGTTTCTGCTCTCTCAGTCGCATTAAGAGATGCTACTTTACTAGAAAAAGAATTCAGGCTTTATGTGTTTGCAAGGAGGGTCATACAGGTGCTCAATGCAACCAATGTAAAAATGGATGGTACCAGAATGGTAATTTCTCAGATCCCACAAACGTTTGCATTCCCTGTAATTGCACAGGAAACTTAGATCTTACTAAAATAAACAGTTGTGACCAGGTTACTGGAAAATGTATAAAATGTGCATCAAAAACAGCAGGAGAACATTGTGAGCGTTGTGCCAGTGGTTTCTATGGAGATGCTGTTGTTGCAAAGAATTGTACGGTGGAATATAAGGCTTCACATCAAGGTAAGTAATTGATGGCATTTTGATATTAATATTGATACCACAGTGTAAGCTAGTGTGAGGTGCACAGTACACCCTTCCTTAGAACTTGTCCCCTTGATTACTTTCTCCAAGTTTGTCTTCTTTATAACCATTGCTGCTATGTGCACCCCACCCCTTCCTCAGGAGATCTTTTCAACTCCCTCCTCAGCAGACCTGCTCAAATCATGTGAAGGTGAAGGCTTTCAGAGTGTGAAAATAAACTAGATCTAGTGTAGTATCTAATATGCATTGACCATATCGTTATGATTGCTTTCCAGGTACAGCATGGCATGTCAATAAGGAAGCAATTGTGATAGCTACTTGTTCGTCAATTGGTGCAGTTTGCATAATAGCTATAGCGTATCTCATCTATCAGAGACATAAAAGATTCTTAACAAAAGGCCGTATACCTAAATTTTGGACTGTGGAAATCTCGAATCGCAACTATGATGATCTAGACTTTTCGCTTCTTGATCCTGTGACAGACACTCCATTTGTATACCGTAACGACACTAGAGACTTTGAAGAAGCTTTGATAGCAGAAGATTCAAAAGCACAGTTACGTATAGATGTGGATACATACACTGCAGAGTTTGAAGACACATCATTTTGATGATGAGTTTACAATTATTACATCATATAATTTATTTTGTTCATTTATACATGATTAAGGTTGTGTTCTTGTTTTGTAAAATTGCAGATTTTGACATTGTCATCACTGCACAGATCACAATTTTGCCAGTATCTTTTTATAGAGTATTGCCAAGCTTTAATAGTGGCAAACTCCAAGCTAGCTGCCWTCAGTTAAATTATGACTGTTGCTAAATGTGTGACATTATTTATATTTGGTAAACATTGTGTGCTGTAATCATAAGTCCAAATTGAATGACGGTTAGTTCTTCATGCTTTTTAAATCTTGGGCAWTATAATTGATTGAAATATTGATTTGTTTTATATGCAATTTACCAAAATCAAAATAGATTAGTTTATTGCATTTAAATCAGTTTTACCAAGGATACAAATGTGTGCAGGGAACAAAGAGCATAATGTCTTTTTATGTCTGTCAGGTTGTTATATAAGGAGACAACTTGATAAAAAGAATATAATATTCTTATAAGTGGAGCTATAAAAAYGTTTTCTTAGTGGAGTATTTTTAGAAATAATTCTTTTATAAATGTGATTCAATTTTAATCCCATCACAATAAGYGTTATCTGTGACATTTTAATTTTTAGTAAAGATATTAATAATTATAACTCTTCATATTTAACCTGTGAGACAACGTATCATACTTTAGTAAAATCCAAATGAATGTCACTACAACAGTTTGGAATAAAACCAAAACGAGTTTGATAATAGTATTGCAAGTCCATTATAAGTCAACAAAGAACAACATTTGATAAGGCTATAAGGTTATGTCCAAAATAAACTATAGTTTTGTTATTTGAAGAGGATGAATTAGTMTTTTACTGGTTATCAGTGTGTTGAAATTTGAAGGATAATTTTGTAGTATATGTTATTCATTACTAAGTTGATAAATTATTGATGTAGAAATGTTCAAGCCATATAGAAATCTTTTTGTGTTTTAACTGTTTGTGGTCTGTATAACAAGAAAAAGGCTGGTTTCCACAGAGTAAATTATACTTTTATCTTTTATGTAGTGTGAAAACCAGCCATTTGAGAAACAACTCTGTCATTTATCTGCAGATAAGGCTTCSACAGTTTAAGTCTCACTGTAAAACASACCAGTACATCGTTAAACTTGAATTGTTGATAGCTACAATACATATAGTATAGCTACATTTAGAATGTCTTACGTAATTCAAAAAATAAAAATTCAATCACTCACAGCCATATCATTTCTTTGTGGTCAAGACAAGTAAAAAATCATTATTGCAGTGAATCCTCTATTAAAAGGCCCTCTATTTAGCGATCACCCTCATTAAGCAGTTCCTCAAGAATTCCCCAAAATTTGATTCTCATAGTTATATTTACTGTGTACAATGTAACCTCTATTGAAGCCTCTGTTGAGCAGTCTTTGGTCTTTAGCCAAGGTCACCACTTAATAGAGCTTCAACCAATTCTAAACTGTAGTGAGCACTCAATGATAAAAAAATAATCATTTCCCATTTTACAAAGGTAACTGCATGAACAGTAGGATTAGAAGTCTGATAAGGAAAATGCTATAAAAATCTAAACTAGTCTGAGTTCTTGATTTATTTTAAATGAACTCAAATCAGTTTGACTATGTTTAAACGACATATAATGTAACCGATACCAATCAATCTGGTCATTTGTAAGGTTACACGTGATATTATCACAAACAAATATTGTAATAGTCTACTTCCTAASTTACAGTATGGAAATCATGATTTTTGACTTAGGAATAGTAAGATTAAAATAATAAACAATTGGTCGACAATATTATTTATTGTTTAAAGCCTCATACATTTGAACTCAGTCATCGTCATAAATTGATGGAAGTCCAAATTCAAAGTCTTTGAGATAAGCCACCTTCACATCTTTTCTTCGACCATCAGATCCTTGAAGTAATAGACCTTTGCATTCATTCCAGTATCGTCTGCATCGACAAATATAGGGCAAGCCAGAAGATTTCCCGTCTCCAGATCGATACTTTCTTTTGAGAAGWAAATCTGAAAATTTGAGAACTTGTCATAAATCGGTATATCTTTGAACCTTTCGGATRCCGGTTCATCTTTTTTAGGTACTTTGAAGAATTCACCACAATTCTTTTTGAAGACAGCATGTCTCTCGGGATCCATCTTTTTCTTTGCCTCGCTAACAAGCTTCGCCATTACATTTTTAACGAATTTCTTGCAGGSTGGTAGTTSTTCGYTCCATTCTTCGACTTCATCATGGTTTATGATCACATCAAAACCTCTAACAACTCCTCCACCTTCTAACTSTTCTGCTTCTTCTTCTGCCGATGGATTTCCTCCAAAGAGTTCGTCTCCGAATTCATCCCCTTTTTTCGTCACATACTTGGCGTCAACTACGTAGAGAAAGTCTTCTAGCAATGCCATTTTATAACTGTCGGTCAAGATGGTCTTTCCAGTGAAAATATCGTTGAAAATGATCATTTTGKTAGAGTGAATTTGTGCACCAACAACACGAGTGAAGGTTTGGTGTAAAAGAGAACGAATGAAAGACCGCGCGGCATCTTGGGCAACTTACTTCGGATTACACCAATCATAGCTCGTGTTATATAGGACGCAATTAATATCCAATCAGCGAGCTTGTATTATAATACAATTTAGACGTAAAACAGGAAACCCACAACGGAAACATTTTATCAGTTGAAACACGTGACGTGTCGAAATAATGATGATAAGTCATTCATTTTTGTGGAATACTTGTATAACAAAACCTTCTGTCTCCCTGCATCCTCTCCCATCCGTAGCAAAAGAAGAAAAACAAGGCCACGTKCTCGTCGATATTGGATCTTGTCGACCAGGCGAGGAGACGACTTCTCTGCAAATAGAATATTCCATAATAACAGTWTTCAGTAATAGAGAAAAGTAAATGCAAGAGTTACTCATACTTACTTTGTGGACGGTCAAGACACACGTGAGTCACAGTCTCGCATTAGTCCTCGCGCGGCAGCCAGACTCCAATGCAGCCGCCAATTCATATGAAGAATAAGATTCCGTGACTCAAGACGATGGGGAAACAATATATACGCCATCCGATCAATGTCGTTACCTCCCAGTTTAGGCAGTATTAATTTGAAGTCGAAATTCTCTTGTTTTGCTKTTCTACCTTTTTTTWACTCTGTCAGTTCCCAGGCAGCCTAGCCTTWGAAAAGACAGAAAATTGCGGTCCGCGATTTTTAATTGGTTTGGCGGGACATCACGGCGTTTGTTTCCTCGATGTCCGTTTTAAATGTATTTATAGTATTTGTAGTCAGTACAGAATGTTGGTTAAGCGGTTAAAATTCAGTTCTCTCTACCGGGAAAATTAAATGCCACCACTAAATTTAATCTGTTTTTGTGACAATGTCACGCAACCAATCAAATACCTTTCCCACCCCACCCCCGATAAGGGTATGATACACGGCCAATAAAAGTTATTTTTCACGCTACTGATTTCTTCTTTGGAACTGCGAATCCTAAATTCAATTCATATGTATCCAAAAAAAACCCTTGATAATAATAGTTGGACGTCAATCGATACAGATCTACAAAATGACTTATTTTATTGATAAGCAATACWACTATATCAACTGAAAAATTAATATACTCTTCACTTTAAGTATTTTTTCGTATTGTTAAATCATTAGTTAACCTACACTGGAGAAAACCTGCCGCTAGTTTCCTGTACTGTACTAGAAGCTGAATAAAGCAAAACATTTCCATTTTTTCAGAGTGGCTGAATAATAATAGCGTGTGAAATTTTACTGACCCCTTTTGCACACTCAATCGGGCTTTTACAACAGCAGTCATTCACTAATGGRGTTTGCTTATACTAAGGGTGAATTAGCGCTATTCACGGATTTTATTCTTAATTATCCATGCAGTGGATAACATCCATACAAATTCTATGAGAGAATGACGTCATACTACCTATATACMAGCGGGCCCTGAATATCATTATCCGTAATAATAACTGAGAATACCATAGTAACTGGATACTATTCCACTTAATGCACTCTTAAAACCATTGGTTCAAATTAATTTTATTATTTGTGCKCAAAGACATCAACCCGCGTTAGCCGCGGCATAAATTAACCGGTAAAGCTGGCGCGCAAAATTCTCTCAAAACCCCGAGTGAGATTAGGACTGATCGTAGTTTCAAKTCAGGAAGACAAGTGAGAGTTTGTATCAGCAGTCGCTACAGTATTCTTGGATCTTAGGCGTTGATTTACTATGAAGTCTACTACACTGATTGTACTTTGCGCTTTGGTGTCATTGGCAGCCTCGGCCGCAATTTTGAGAGGTATGTACAGCATGTTTTTTAAAATGGCATGATTGGCGAAATAGTATTTCTTACGTAAGAATAGTCAGTCTCTACTTCTACTCAGTGAAGATAACCTCTTCAAACGATGAATCTCATGCACACGTGTAGACTTGAATGAGAACATTGTGAAATAACTACTAAAGAATTGAAACAAATTATTGGAGTGCTTACATGCGCATTTGAATTATGTCGCGAGAGATACGACGTTGAAACGAACCTACAATCTTATGCAAAAATTGGTTCCTTGCGATCCCTTGCCCTGGTTCTGTGTTGTTAATAGGATGATGYCTTCGCGTATTGCCAGGAAATCATGCCTTTTTGTGGTCAGCAAATAACATTGTCGAGGGTTAAGGGGTATACGACCTAACATTGTAGGTGCGGTCTCGATTTTTTTGCGGGAGATTGTAACTCTAGAATGGTGTTTATAATGTATTTCAAAATTATGTCTATAGTAGCCATTATGGTAGTACATGCCAATTGTAAACCTCGCGCTAACATTAACTTTTATTAACTCACTTTTTTTTATTTGCTTAACAGATGGCGGTGGAGGCGGAGGAGGTGGCGGTGGAAARGGAGGTGGAGGAGGAGGTGGTGGTGGTGGTAAAGGAGGAGGTGGACATGGTGGAGGTCACGGAGGTGGACGAGGAGGAGGTGGAGGCGGAGGAGGAGGCGGAGGAGGTAATGGCGGTGGTCACGGAGGAGGACAAGGCGGATCAAATGAYGGTAAGATAAGTTATTTATTACTAATGTTAATAAGTGACTATATGATGTAAGAGTGACTACACTGAATGGCAAAAAAATAGGAATATTTTGTATTGATGCATGAGCTACTCAGTCAAGAACGAGTGATTTACTATTAAAATTGGTCCGCCATCTTAGAGTAATAAATATTTGAATTAAGAAGGGCATGAAGCGTCGCTCGATTTATACCAGGAGAAGATTCTATGAAGATGCGTGCCGGGCAACTATCAAGTTGATTTACAGCATAGTTACCCAATACGCTATCAATTCATCATTTGTTTTCTATCGTCAATAATTTCATATTTTTTCCAGACAAGTACCAGAATGTAGGCAAAGAATACGCCATGAGAGATGCATGGCATAATGGACAGAGAGAAGGTATAGGTTTCAATTCCTTTTTTAATATTTGTAAGCTGTAAATCATTGTGTGTGCAATTTTTACTCTTGACAAAGATTTTCTACCAAATTTCTAACATCTGTTTCCCATCTTTTCCCATTGCAATTATATAGTAATATAATGAGCCGCAAATTTAAGTAGCGTATTATTAACTTATACGATTTCTCTCACAGGTGGCGGTGGCGGAGGAGGTGGCGGTGGTGGTGGACGTGGCGGCGGTGGAGGAGGTGGCGGTGGTGGACGTGGCGGCGGTGGAGGAGGTGGCGGTGGTGGACGAGGAGGAGGTGGCGGCGGTGGCGGAAGCGGAGGAGGCCATGGAGGGGGAGGGGGAGGTAGCGGAGGAGGTAAGTTTTGCAAACATTCGGTATTCCGTCAACTASTATCCTTCAGTTATGTTCAGTTATATGTAATTGTGATTGTAAATTGAAGAAAAAGGCACACAACTTGCAACTAGTATTTTGATTGTATATATGTTTGATTTTGTATTAAATGGATTAGTAGATGAATTGTACGTTTCATTTTTTGGCAGCCCACGATGCTATAGAGAATGACCTAATGAAACTACTTGATGAAGCACAACACAAAGGGAAGCCACAGCAAGGTATAAAAATAGTAGCAAAGTTATTTCAATGAATTCACTCTTCAAAAGTTATAACTTTAATTGGGAAGGAGGAGCATAGTTAGTAGAGGGGAATATTCCCCTCTAGTAACTATGGGAGGAGTGGCGAGCATGTTATGATGCATCACTCAAGTCTCGGCTTCTTGAAGGCTCAATCATTCTCTTTGTTTCTTGTTTTTCAGACAGCAAGTATGGTAAGGGAAATAAGTACTCTGGAAGTTTCTCATACGGTTCATCAAACCCAGGGATGATGGCTCAGTCTCCCGTATGGGTTCAAACCCCGTATGGTTACATGCTGGCTTCGCAGCCTTCAATGAGCGGTTATCCTTACAGTATGCCTTCCCATGATGCCACAAGTGGTAGTCCAGCTAATGCCCTTACCAACCTGATAGCACAATAYATAGCTAAAGCTCAAGCAAAGAAGGCAGCAGCCGCAGCTAAAGTARCACCGAAACCGGGATTGACACCAGCACAGATACTTACACTTATTCAAGCAATAAAAGCAGCCAAGGCCTCCTCGACATCACCCGGCACAGCAAACCCAACAACGGACGAAGCAGCGCCATTGATTKCAAAGATTAAAGAAATTATAGCAATTCATGAAGCAGCCGCTGAAGCTAAGGCAAARGCGTCTGCAGACTCAAGTAGTAAGTAATACAGATATTATTCTTGGATGTCACGTGGGTAAATCGTTGTAGCACAGTGAAAATATTGAAACTGAGGAATTTTCAGAAATGTTTTCTGATCTTACATGTCACCTTTTTTGTTCTTGCGTAGTGACGGAGATCAATTATATAACGGTTTAATAGYTTTATCATTAAAAATGTTGTTATTTTTTCAAGGTATGTCAGTCAAAAGGGATTTGAAGTCAGTGGAAAAGATAAAAGCAGCCGATGTCGCGACAGAGGTACTGGAAAATCAAAATATTTTGAGTCAACATTTGTTTTATTTAACTGGTTCATGTACATTGCTTTTGAGAGGCATGTTGATGATGACATGTTGATTTTAAAATTGATGAATAGCAATGATCGTATGCATGATTATTATTTACATATTATACTATTATATTAGTCAAATATTCATACTATTTTATTGTACAATTACATTGGATGATCACTACAATGATGATAATGATTATAATATAATGATGATGCAAATTAAGATATTTTTTTCAATTTTTCAGGGAGCAACAGCAACCAAACCTGGCTGGCCTGAAGTCAAAGCGATACTTGAATCTTTTGGAATTCCAATTGCAACCCCTGCACCTGTAGCTAAAACCGCAGCAAATCCATTTTCAGAGTTACTTAATAAAATGAGTACTTCCAGTGATCCCGTCATGGCAGCAGCTCCATTCGCATCTATRTGGCCATCGATATCAAAGGAACTCACGGCGTCTGGTATTCCCATCAGTCCAGCGGCGACCATAACCCCMGAGGGATGGCTTAAATTGAAAAGTTCATTGTTGACACCACTAGCTGGTTCGACTCCAGCCAAACCATTCTGGGCGTCGTTTATGGCACCYAAAGCAGACCCACCAGCTTCTGGTCAGCCATTCTGGATGCAGTTCATCAAACCAAAACCCACTGGTAAACCTTCTAATGGTAATAATGTTGTCCCCCCTGGTAGCTTTATTCCGGTCAATCCATCGGCCTTCATGCCTTCTGGTGGCTTTATTCCTGCCGGKGGGTCATTTATACCAGCACCAATCAACAACTTACTTCCATTAAAGGCAGCTTTTRTACCTGGTGGTTCGTTCGTGCCTCCTCAAGTTTCATCATACTTATCACAAATGTCAGACCCTGCGATGTTCCCTGGAGCAATGCTACCATATATGGCAGCAAATAAGGCAGGCTCATCAGCGGTCGCACCTTGGTCAGCGTACATGGGTTCACCAGGTGCATTTCAGTTGCCAACACCAGCACCACCAAAACCAAACCCTTTCTTGGAGTACATTAAATCAGCSAAGAAAGACCCCAAGTTAAGTGCTTCTCTACCATGGTGGACTGCACTGATTAAAGAACCAGCACCTACTACCACACCAGCTCCTAATCCTTTCCTGGAATTCGTTAAACAGTATATGAGTAAAACTGGTATATCTGTACAGCCTCAACAACCTGAACCAAAGAAAACACCTCCAACAGTCGCCCCCARTACTCCTCCGCCGGCTGTGGTGCCAGCTGACTTATGGGCTGCGTTCTTAAAGACTTACAAGGGTACYGCAGGGGCTGCTAGTGGTACTAGATAATTAGTTTACGGTTAGTTAGGATCTTTATTATYATATTGTTGTATCCATATTAAGTCACTGGTGTTCATTGATTCATTTTTAACTCCTAATTAAGGATATTTGAACTGTAACTTGTGAAAAATTATCTGAAAGATGTTGGGTTTTTTTTCTTTTGTTCATTATGGCACGGACGGAGACAAGTGCTTGTATTCTTGCCAAGAAAGCATAAAAATGTATTTGAGTTTAAAATATGCGAGAACTGAGATTTATGTCGTCGCTTCATTGTTATCAAGTCTATATTCTTGGTTAACAACATTAAGATTTAGTGGTATAAAGATACATTTTTTAATTTCCTTTTTGGTAGACTGAAATGATTATTTTTCACAGTTTTGAAGTCTGACGCTCTTTGAGTGTCTTGAAGTCTCAATTCAGACCACGTGACTATTCTACAATGACCAAAAAAAACATGATCTGAAATATGAATTCATGGCGCTCGAACCCCAGGTAGTCATTAAGCTGCTTAGTTTCAAAGAATTAACTTATTTATATACAATACAGGATGCTTAACCTTTTGATTTTCTTTCTAGATTGCCAGTCGGCTATTGCGCATTTATATTGTTAACATTCATATTAGCTTTGCAATTCTTGGTTGTAGTACATGTCTTTCATATTAAAGCTTTTTAATAAACTCAATACCACTGAGTTCAAAACGTTCTCGTCAATTGTTTTATAGTCGAACCTCTATAAAGCGGTTTCCTTGTGGAAAGACCRACCGGGTGACCACTTAATTGAGGTTCGCCGTTCAATAGAGATTTACTCGTTAAGAGAATCGATTAATAAACGTTCGACATGTTTGACGTGTTTGTCATAAAATCGAAATTATAAGATTTGTGTATAACAGTAAGGCTTAGGATCTTTGTATGAAATTTCAGATTATTTTTAAAGCATATCAGCTTATCGTAAGTTTGGCGCCAACAAGTGAAAGACTGAGAGCTCGATTTTGTAGTCAACAGCGTGTTATCATGGACTTTGAGAGTTCCTGATATGGAGGGCAGACACGRAAACATTAAACTATAAACAGACAGGGACGGAGACAAATCTAGTTRTGGTTCCCAGAAGTGATGAAGTYGTGGTTTTCCTGTTWTKAAGTCGTGATGTGTAGTTAGTTTCATGAATGTTTTGACTACGTTGGACTATTTTTATATATTATCATTTTGACATCATATTGTTGGTAGAGATTCAGCGA